CGGGGGGGGGGGGGGGGGGGGGGTGCTGACATCTCTTGGTAGTGAGCACCCGCCCACGCGGATGCGTTGAACAGGTTGTCAGTCGGACAAATCTGATATTACTTGTTCACTTTACAGTATATATGTATATATATATGCAAAGTACTGTACACATGCTTGTTCCATCAATGATTATTAAAATAAAAAGTCGTTTCAAACTTGTCACGGCAAGTAAACAATACAAACTCGTCCTGATATCGGTTTAAGTTTGTAAAACAACTTGTAAGATCCTAACGTGTGGCGTAATATCGGACATTACTTCAGTTGTTTGCTAAATTTCTTGTGATTGATTTCGTGCTAGCGACAATAAAGTTATCTCTTCTGTTTTTAAGCATAAAAATTTACTGATATTATACGACGCTATTGGAACCTTGGCTGATTCTGTTGGTCATCATTTAAATAAACAAGAATTCATCGAGTTATTAATGCCTCCACTTATTCAAAAATGGAATGAACTGAAAGATGAGGACAAAGATTTGTTTCCTTTACTTGAATGTTTATCATCAGTTGCTACAGCTTTACATTCCGGTTTTCTACCTTATGCTGAACCTGTGTTTCAACGTTGTGTCTCGTTGGTTGAGAAAACTTTAGCACAGAGTTTGGTAAGTATATCTTATTGTTAAGAAACTGTAGGAATCCTTTAACCCAGGTAAAGTTTATGATGAAATAGATTCTGGATTAGGAGACAAATGTGTGAAGAATGTTGTTTTTTGGATTGGGGGCCTTGGTATGGGACCATGGCCCCATTCGAAAAAACACATTCTTCGCACAAAATTTTGAGGACATTTTTTTATCTCGTTTCAGGCAAGTACGGCAAACCCTGGGCAAGTTGAAGCTCCAGATAAAGACTTTATGATTGTTGCTTTAGATTTATTAAGTGGTTTAGCTGAAGGACTAGAAAATAATATTGAACAATTTGTAGTTCGCAGTAATATATTATCTCTCTTATACCAATGCATGCAGGTAAGTCAGTCACACATCTTAATAATATGTAATGAATGATCCCAAAACAATGTTGCCGGTTGGCAAATATTGCATAGTAAACTGAAACTATGCAATATTATTTTAAGCCTATCGTCCAGCCACTCCGGCCTTTTGCATCTCGAGACTCGAATAAAAAATATTCTATTTTCCAATCTCTATCATGTACTAATATTATTTGCCGACTAATCATTCAAATGAAAAATAACCCAATGTTGGAAAGCTAAATGGTTAAGACTCTATGAATGGATCTTCCCACGCGAAGTGCGTATATATAATACCTGGGTTAATTTGTTAATTAATACCTTCAAAATTAACCAATCGCATATCACCACGTGATCCACTGGCTTCATGCGGTCTGTATACACTATAAAAGACTGGAACGAGACTAATACTGTTTTAAAGTGTGTCTTAATAAAAATCCATTTTTATTTTTTTTAACTTCTGTTCCATTTAATATTTATATTTTTGACTATTTAGGATGAGATGCCAGAGGTTCGTCAAAGTTCATTTGCATTGCTCGGAGATCTTTCTAAAGCTTGTTTCAAACATGTCAAACCATGCATCGGTAAGAAGCTGTTAGTACCAACTTTTCCTTAAGTTTAGGAAGCTGTACCATGTCAATGAAAGTTTCGTGTGTCTGCAATTCCAACCTTTCCTTATCTTTAAGAAGCTGTACCATGTCAATGAAAGTTTAGTGTGTCTGCAATTCCAACTTTTCCTTATCTTTAAGAAGCTGTATCATGTCAATGAAAGTTTCGTGTGTCTGCAATTCCAACTTTTCCTTATCTTTAAGAAGCTGTACCATGTCAATGAAAATTTAGTGTGTCTGCAATTCCAACTTTTCCTTGTCTTTAAGAAGCTGTATCATGTCAATGAAAGTTTAGTGTGTCTGTAATTCCAACTTTTCCTTATCTTTAAGAAGTTGTATCATGTCAATGAAAGTTTAGTGTGTCTGCAATTCCAACTTTTCCTTATCTTTAAGAAGCTGTACCATGTCAATGAAAGTTTAGTGTGTCTGCAATTCCAACTTTTCCTTATCTTTAAGAAGTTGTACCATGTCAATGAAAGTTTCGTGTATCTGCAATTCCAACTTTTCCTTATCTTTAAGAAACTGTATCATGTCAATGAAAGTTTAGTGTGTCTGCAATTCCAACTTTTCCTTATCTTTAAGAAGCTGTACCATGTCAATGAAAGTTTATAGTGTGTCTGCAATTCCAACTTTTCCTTATCTTTAAGAAACTGTACCATGTCAATGAAAGTTTAGTGTGTCTGCAATTCCAGCTTTTCCTTGTCTTTAAGAAGTTGTACCATGTCAATGAAAGTTTCGTGTATCTGCAATTCCAACTTTTCCTTATCTTTAAGGAACTGTATCATGTCAATGAAAGTTTAGTGTGTCTGCAATTCCAACTTTTCCTTATCTTTAAGAAGCTGTACCATGTCAATGAAAGTTTAGTGTGTCTGTAATTCCAACTTTTCCTTATCTTTAAGAAGCTGTATCATGTCAATGAAAGTTTAGTGTGTCTGCAATTCCAACTTTTCCTTGTCTTTAAGAAGTTGTACCATGTCAATGAAAGTTTCGTGTATCTGCAATTCCAACTTTTCCTTATCTTTAAGAAACTGTATCATGTCAATGAAAGTTTAGTGTGTCTGCAATTCCAACTTTTCCTTATCTTTAAGAAGCTGTACCATGTCAATGAAAGTTTAGTGTGTCTGCAATTCCAACTTTTCCTTATCTTTAAGAAGCTGTACCATGTCAATGAAAGTTTATAGTGTGTCTGCAATTCCAACTTTTCCTTGTCTTTAAGAAGTTGTACCATGTCAATGAAAGTTTAGTGTGTTTGCAATTCCAACTTTTCCTTATCTTTAAGAAACTGTATCATGTCAATGAAAGTTTAGTGTGTCTGCAATTCCAACTTTTCCTTATCTTTAAGAAGCTGTACCATGTCAATGAAAGTTTAGTGTGTCTGCAATTCCAACTTTTCCTTATCTTTAAGAAGCTGTACCATGTCAATGAAAGTTTATAGTGTGTCTGCAATTCCAACTTTTCCTTGTCTTTAAGAAGTTGTACCATGTCAATGAAAGTTTAGAAACAAAGTTTGCCATCGCTTTATATTCGCTACGTGGGTTTGTTAGTATGTTCGGAATCATAAGCCATATCGTCGTGCATTTGTTGGGCGCATGCTCCAGTGCACTATACTGTAGCACTACAGTATATGTCTGGTTTTTAATGCCTTCAAGCATAAGAAAATCTGAAAATCATAACGCTAGAACGTGCGCATCATTGCACATGCATAGATCTGATTTAAATACAAAATAAGACGTCATAATCAATACGCTTGTGATGTGAACATCTATACTAAATATCGAGATTTTGTTCGCATCTCACTCGATTCAATAATAGTCGAAGGTCTTGTAGATGGAAATTATCGAGTGGAAATTTATGTACTATTTAAAGCACGAGTAGGAGTGTTTTATCAGATATAACACGCGAAGCGCAGCCGAGCGTTTTATATCTGATAAAACACTCCTACTCGTGTTTTAAATAGTACTTAAAATACGACTACAAAAGAATACTAATTAGGATGAACCATTATATAATCATGCTAATTAGGATGAACAATTATATAATGCCACATGTGTTTTATCAGATATAAAGTCACTCCACGTGACATATTATGGCTGACATGATTTGCCACAAGGTTTATGAATTCTTAATGAGTATTTTAAATACATTTATTAGACCTAACCAGGAAGAGCTACGAAACTACAGGTCCCTGGCAGGGATCGAACCTGCGGCCCTGTGATTCTGATGCAGCACTTTAACCAACTGAGCTACAGAGGTCAGCTGTCGAGCTCTAGCAGGTTCGATTCCTGCCAGGGACCTGTATTTTTCGCAGCTGTTCCTGGTTAGGTCTGATAAATGTACATAAATTTCCACGCGATAATTTCCATCTACAAGATCCTTCAACATCTATACTAACCGTATCAAAGAAACTATTGTAAATGGTGCATGGAAACACGAGGAATATATAATTGCACTTTTAATGTTTCTCTCCTAAAACCAGAAAAACGTCATGTTTATTTTCAGTGGACCTTATGCCAGTTCTTGGACGAAATTTAAATCCGGAATTCATCTCGGTGTGTAACAATGCGACCTGGGCTATTGGTGAAATATCCATACAGTTGGGTTAGTATAATTTTATCTTCTAATAATATACATAAAAAAACCGTTAGCTATAATGTGATATAACAAAGCAGGAAGTCATTTTCAGTGGACGGTTCGCTATAAATGTAAGTTGAAACTACAATTGTCTCGAACATTTTTATGTATATTATTAATCCGTAATACTAATAGAACGGTTTCTTGTGAAATTTGAATAAAACAAGCATTCGTAAGTTTTTCAAAGACCTCAAATAGCACTCGTCCTTTGGACTCGTGCTATTTTGAAGCTCTTTGAAAAACTCACTCGTGCATGCTATATCCAAATTGCATTCGAAACCATCCTATTAGTATTAGCTATATATACTAAAATACTTTCTTCTAACAGTCGGTTTTTACAATCATAAATGAAATAAAAAACATTTTCCGTGTTCTATACAGTTATAGAAACACGCGTGGCAGTTTGGAAGAACGAGAAATAATCAATGTATAACTAACTCAAACTACCTGTAACTGTATAGAAACACAGGAAAAAATGTTTTCTATTTCTTTTATAATATAACTTAAGAAAAGTTTTTATATCGATTAATTTACATATTCTCATTACCTCAGCATAAAGTCCACTCGATTGGTTGGCCGGCCTTTGCTCGTCAATTTACTATAAAATAATAGTCAAGTTCTTCTCTATTCAAAAACTGAGAATTCCCTTTCTGTCTTGTAATTCCTTAATTTGGTTGGCAAAACTATTGTATTTTTAAATATGTTATTTTTCTTCTCATTTTAGGAGAGGAAACGAAACCGTACGTTTCTCTTGTTCTTTCTTCATTAATCGACATCATTAATCGAGCTCACACACCAAAAACACTCCTGGAAAACACAGGTATACATCGAAAGATATGTTCAGCTATGTAATTGAACGTTGCATGAAATGATAAATTTATGTTGGGGTATAAATTAGAGACTTTCCTCTTCATTAATTCAAACCAACACAGTTATACTGTGTTTTTCGTATTTTTATGTTGGTAGAACAAGTTATCTTGATAAAGCGTGTGTCAGGCTATAAGCATGCATATTGGCGATATTTTAGCTTAATTTAGACTATGTGTTCTCACAGTTACATGTATTATCAATTATACATCACAGAATTTCGTCAAAAGTGGACCAGACGACCAGTTGATTCACTTGACACTATGTATATATACTCAATATATCCACGTTAAGCTTTTTTCATCATTGAGCTCCTGGTCACTTTGAGAATATGCACGAATTTTAATTCTGTATACTCTTTAATGATACCTATAACAGTTAGATATTGCTCGTGAATTGGCTGGATGATCTTGAAATCCAATACGAGCTTGCATGTAGTAGGTGTCGTGCTCATATTGCATATAATGTACATGATTTCGATAACAGGGTCTATGATACTGTACAAGTAGTCCAATAAGTGAACTTCTAAGCTCTATTAACTAACTCTAAGCTTCTGAAATCGTATTTGTGTTTTGTGTGTTTGTACTTACTGTATTGTTTGTTTTCTTGTTTAGTTTGTTTTGTTTAACTTGTTTTCTTTTGGTATTGTGTTTACTTTACGTCTTAGCAATCACGATCGGGAGATTGGGTTTAGTTTGTCCTCAAGAAGTGGCTCCTATGTTAGCGCACTTTGTCAGACCCTGGTGTGTATTTCTTTTTCATTTTATTTAATCTCAACCTTTTATACTAACATCCATTTATTTTCAAGGATATTTTTAAGTAAAATTGCGGGGTCCATTTATAACTGCCTCAATTTAAGTACAATCCTAATCTCCTCTCGTATATAAATAGCTAATACCAAGCTAATACCGTTACATGGTTATACATTTCTGAACTTTAACACCAAACCGAGCGATATTACCATGTCAGGGATATTCCCCTGTCAACTCTACAGTAATAGTCCAAGGAAGCAACATGTTTATTGTGAATAACCACATGCGAAACCCATGTTCTGTATGCTCTGAATTTTACATTCAATGAATATTCCATTGTCTTCCAGGAATGATTCGTTACTTACGTAGTTTGACCATATTCTATCAGGAGTTTCTGTTTCATTTATTAATATTTGATCTTCGTGTAATGTATAACCTATAATAATATTATCAGTCGATGAAGGCCAAGGGTTTATAGCTTCATCTTGCAGCATGATAACGATATATTCTTCGCCACCCTTTGTTTGTTCGTAGTTATCAATTGCCCCTATTAGTGATCACACTTACAGCAATTTTACGAAAATTATCCGAATTATTTGTAACCGCTTTCCAACCTCACTCCCGAATGTCTGATCAGTGATGGGACACAAATAATAGATACGCAGTCATTTAGTAGACTCCCTGAATTCAAACTTGTACGCTATAGGGCATGATAGTTTATCTAGTCAAGGCAGCGTTGGTCAAACCAACTGTTTCACTACCATCCTTATTCCTTTCTCTTAAGGTTATAAAACCTTAAATCGATTTGATTTTGTGACGTTTACTCCTAATGTATGCCACATCACTGGAAGTCTTCGGATTGTCATTCCTTCCGTGTTTTGTGTTTGAAAATGTTGTGCGATCTTGCAAAATTTCTCCTAATAACGTGATCATTTTCCAGGTGTACATCATTGCGTAATATCCGTGATAACGAAGAGAAGGATTCAGCATTTCGTGGCATTTGCAACATGATCAATGTTAACCCTGGTGGCGTAGCTCAGGTAACATTGTGCATCTTGTTAATATATTGCAAATGGTTGTATAGGTGCCACTGATCTCTACATAAAACGTCTTACTGTATTTTGATCTGTATTAGCAACGAGGTTTGCAAAGCTACTTTTATTTTATCCCAATGTTCAGTTGTGTTAACCATCATTTTACGCCTATATTTTAGGATTTCATATTCTTCTGTGATGCGGTCGCGTCGTGGATAAGTCCAAAACCTGATTTGAAGGAAACATTTCATAAGGTTTGTTCTCTAGACAGGGCTTTAGATTTCCATTCTTCGCAATGTTAAACACTACTACGCCGACATTAAATACTCGCGCTGGGGCTCTATCTGGCACCTTCAAAGGGATCGTAGCAGGCATGTGTTTGGTTTCCTGTTGGTGGAACGAGACTGGGATTACCATACTAAGTTAGATCAATCTAAAGCTCAATACTGCTGTGTCTGTGAAATGTGAAGTTTAATGCCTAAGTTGCCTGGATTCACTGCTTTTATCATTTCATCACGTCTGATGCCATTTTACCCTATTTGGGATCAGAAAATTTAAGTAGGGCAACCACTTGAACATACATGTAAATGGTTAACTAAACTACAGTATGTATCGTTCTAACCATTAGGATAATGAATTATCCTGTATCATTCTGTGTCCAACAAATATCGGGCATGCATATCTCGTCAAAGGACGTTAATGCGCTGAGAATTAATTTTTGTTGCACAACGTGACGAAACCTGACAATAACCAAAATAAATTTATATAGTAGACATCGTGCAGTTAAAAGTTACATTGAGGTGTCGTGACGAGAAATTTTGTTGTGTTGTTAGATACTTCATGGTTTTAAGTCTGAAGTTGGAGCTGAAAGTTGGAAGAAATTCTTTGATCAGTTTCCGCCTCCTCTTCAGCAACGACTGAGTGATGGCTACGGTCTTTAGGCAACCAGGGAATTGCATGCAGGGGGTAAGTGTGTGATCTAGTGAGCTCCATGTAGAACTGGAGTGAGAACTCGAGTCCAAAAAGTGAAGCCAAAGATGGAGCTTATTGGACGTCAGTTTCAGTCCCTTTCTATTGTTTTCTCTGCCAGGAAATTTCGTATTTTGACTTCGAATTGGAATTAGCTGGGGAAAATGGTTTTAGAATTGTTAAAACATCTTCATAGCTAGGCCAAAAAAAATGTGGTTTCCCGACCCTACCTAGCTTTTGGACGTCGAAATCCCGACCCTAAACTTTTTTATTGGATCATGCTTGTAAGTGTTTCCACGACACTTAGAGGAAAAAGTTTGTGGAAAATTGAAATTTGAGGCAATATTAGGGAAATTTATCTTTGGATGTGGAAGTATGGTGGAAGCACTGACTAAACAAAATGGCGTCCGGTTGTTAGGAAAATTTAAAAAAAAAGTTAAAACCGACCTACCCTACCTAAGTTTTTATAATAAGAAACCGGAAACCCACATATTTTTTTTCCGCCACCTTGGCTTCACTTTTCTTAGGGCGATACTAGAGATCTCACTGGGTGATCTCATTCCTATTACAGCATGGTAGTTTGTCAAAACCCTTGTGACGTCATTTTGGGAAAGTCATTTCCCAGACGTGCAATGGACAATTGTTCTAATGCTTGCATTTTCTTTAGGGACCGAGATTGGTGGAAGGGGGATGTTCAGTCCCCACTCTACCCTCGCTGGGGGTACATACCGGGTGCATGGGGGTACTTCTGTGAGTTTACGTGTTCACACTTGTCCCGTAATCTGTCGTGTGACGTCTGTGACGTGTCATGTCACGTGATTCAACGTAGCAATAGACTAACGTATGAAGAGTAGACTAATGTATCAACCAATATAATAACGCCGTTATTTGGTGTTAAGTAATTCTCAGATACCCAGTCATGCGTGGTTAATGTGCCTTAGATTTCCCCCACCGTTGTGATACTGCATTTCGCATGTGGTTGAATTTACCCAGTGGATTAATTACCATTTAGCAAAATTAAGCATTTAGCCTTCTTTCGCCGATACTTGAAAAATTGTATCAATAAAATGTGTTTAAGCATTCTCATAAAGTGATCTATTTTTAATGTATTGTAAAATATACCAATTGACGTGGATGTCATAGAGTAAAATAAAAAGAAAATACTGGGAAATCGTAAGTCACATAGTTAACTGCTCTTGATTGTGTACCGGAGGTCTAAGAATATGATCTAAACATTTGTTGCTGTGTATGGCAAAACGTAGTAAATGTCAATTTCTAATTTATAGTAAATTATAATAGTGCTGCTAGATTTATATAGTCCCTAGAATTTCATAACTGGGGTCATAAGTTTCTATAAATTATAATTATATTGCAGTAAATTCATCTTTCTAGTAATAACTCGTAACACTTTTATAACAATGTACATCAGGTTTTTACTTCGTACATTTTAAGGATTTTGTAAGCAACTTAAGGTTTTGATGCAATGTAAACTTTGTTTGCATGATTCAAAGTACAAACGTTTTTGCCACATGCCAGTTGGAAGATGCCCATCCCGTGGTAAACAGTGACCGGACACTAGGGTGGACGAAGATGGATTGCTCCTCAGTGTTTCTGAAAGACAGCCGATTGACTGAATAGTCAAGTTATAACGAGGTTTTCTCAACCATGAACTCTGATAAGGTTTAGTTATTAATTTAAACAAACTAGCAAATTTTAACTTTTAGCCAAAACAGTTCGAGGACTGAAATTTGTAGTAATATGTCGTGATGTGTCCGGCATTGTGTGTGATCACCAAAGGGCTTGTTTATATTATCCCGGCTAGGTGGGACGGGCGTTTATTTCTTACTGGGCCTGGAAGCTCTCCTAGGCGAAAGGGTTAAACCAGTTAAGTCCTTGACGCTATTTTTGTGGACAAAAGATATAGATAACGCACGCTCAGAAGGCATTCTCATCCAGATTGGCCGGATGGCGAATTTCCCGTCCCGACGCGATATGCCAGGTCCGCCTATATAGACGGGCATCGGACATCCTACAACTGGCCCCATATAGCTATAGTCGACATTTTCAGTTATTTTAACAGGTATATCGTTCTTATCAATTTCATTTCTAAATAAACCAATCACACCGCCTCCTACTTTAGTCACATGATACGTGAAGTCTGGATTGAGATTTGACCGTGCCCTAGTACCGCCTGTAAAAAGTTTGACTTTTTTTAAACTGACTGTTCTAACTTGAAATTTGACCTACTCCTGGTTACTTCAACCATCAGAATTTTGACTTCAAAACCTATCTGAAAAGACAAAACAAATATAGAAAAACACTTTGAGCAATGTGACGGACTGGTCGTAAAATTGTATTCAGCTGGATTTGCTCAGTCAGGACTTTGCGGGCCATCGCACTCGATAGAACTATAATTGTTGAAGTGTTTCTATGTACGAAAACCCCTTCAACAATCAGTCCTTCATTCTCTGCATTTCGATTTATCTGTTTTATAACTGCAGGACTGTCGTGCCATAGCTATATTCGTGGTAATTTTTCAATGATAAAAACCTAAGAAATTATAATTAATATCAAGAATAATATACCCACTTTAGCTTGTCTGTCATTCTCGTAATCTGTATGTAATATATTGTGAAGGTGAATGAATAATTAAATTATGTGTCATATATAATAATTGTGTTCCACGCTTATATTTTAGTCTGTTTTATCACAATTAGGGTACGATTACATGGGTATTTTTACCCGGATAACCGGACTGAAATTGTTGCCAGGGCCTTCTGGACAATAAAGTCCTTGTAAAACAGAGTTCCCGATCAGGCGATCACATGACAAAAATTTCAGCCCTGCCTGAATTGGTTTCGACCACCCGGGGTGGAAATTTCATCCTGGTCCATTTTCATCCTGGTCCATTTCTAAATGCAAGGAAGTTAAATAGCTCCATTTTGAGACAGGGTTGAAAAATCTCATCCCGCTGTCCATGTCTGTCCTGTCATTCTTCAGTCAAAAGCATAGGTCAAAATACTCCGGGATTGTTTTGAGGAGGAATACACTTCCATGCAAACATTGCTTTCGACCTTCAAGATATATAAGAATAGCACAAAGATAGTTTTATAAAGATGAATCCACAGTCGTGTTTCTCAAATTTTTTACAACACTTTGCTACAACCACAAACTCGTATGTTACGCATAGTGCATGACCATCTGGAAATTATTGGAAACTTTTTTTCCTTTGCCTGCGTGACTGGCGGTTTTAAGTGATGGGTTTTTTCGCTGCCTGCACCTCAACCCCATCCCAACCGCCAGCTACGTAGGCTACTTTTTTGTATAATTTTTGGTCATCTAGACTTGTTTATGATTATGTAATATTTTTATATCTCGTGACCTGCATTACACCAGCCCCCTGCTGATTTGCGGTTCTGTAAATGTTTAATAAATTTCGCAAATAACGTGAAAGACTTCATGCCCATTCATATGAAAGAGCTACAAACGCATGCCGAAATAAAGGTAAAATTTTAATATTAATGTAGATTTAAAATGTACTGAGTGAAGTAATTTGATACACCATGTTTGTACATTTTTGCGGTGACCTTCGCCTTATATAGGGCTGCCAGGAGTTTTCTGCGATTATATGAACAATTGTCTACTGCTGTGCACGTCTGGTCAGATCTGGTGGTAAAGTAAATTGAGCTGATTTTATCAAATCACCGTCGTCCTGCTACAAACTCTTTACAAACCTATGAACTACAAACTGAGTATTACCAGAGTATTACATTGTACAAGGTCGCGTGTAAAGATTCGTGCACTGTCGCAAGCGGGGTCACGCAGATATAGATGTGTCACGCCAGCATGAAAATACGTACATATTGTTGCTTGACAATCATTGTCATACTCTTGTATTTTCTCAAGTTTACACGCAGCCATCTTGCAATTCCAATAGCGCAGACCAGTGGCAATGATACCAAATGTTTGAAAAATCAACATCGAATCACCCCGTGTCGAACATTAAAGTATGCGCTGCAATATACTCTTGCGTCAAATGAAACGTCTGTGAATATCATCTTTGTCGAAGATTATCGATTCTCGAGGATTCAGCCTCTTCAGATTCACACGAACGAAAATCAGACGTTGATATTTTCTAAGCTACCGGATTACGTTCCTCCTCTTACTGATATTAACTTAAACTGCTCACGCGACGCGCACGGCATTTTCGACGTGTATGGACCAAATCTGATTTTGGAATTTCATAATATTATCTTTGCGAATTGCGGTCAAGGAAATGAAGACGTTATGCCAGTAATATTAGCGAAGTACACCAAGAAAGTGTCATTCTATTCCTGTATCTTTCGAGACAATGTATGTGGTGCTTTCTTTGCTATAAACACCGATATCCATATTGAATACTCCCGATTTCAAAACAATTCATTTCACTCCAGTGAAAGACTTTACAAAAAGTCCAATGATGTGAGTGCATTTAGTGGTGGAGTTGGTATTTTATTTCAGTATGAACGAAGAAATATGTCAGTAAATGTTTTTTATACTATATTTATTGACAATCGTGTACATGTTGACGACAGTAAATATTACGTTGCTCGAAAGCCGGAAAACGCTGTGGAAAATGGTGGGGCGATGCATGTTACCTTCATCAATAAGTCGACGTTTTGGACCACAATAAACATAACGTCGTGTTATTTTGAATCGAATAAAGCCACATTTGGTGGTGCTTTACTGATTGAGCTTTTTGGCACAACATTATACAATAAAATATTTATAAGTTCAACTCATTTTATAAGGAATTACGGCAGCCAAGCTGGTGGAGCTTTTCTTCTTTCATTGTGGGGCTTTTCAGCTAAAACCGAGCTAACCATGGTGGATTCTGTTTTTTTTGAAAACTGGTCAAAAAGTGGCGGTGCTATATATGTTATCCTTCAATCAAACTATAGTTTACCACACGAAAACAAAGAAATATTATTATTCAAACGACTAAATGTTAGTCGGAATGCAGGACCCGCAGCCTCAAGTGTAAAAATTGTATCTCATCTCTTTGGTCCACGGTCCGTTGATCAGGTCCCCATCTTTGAAAATTGTTCGTTTATGAATAACACAAACGGTGTTTTGAATGGTTATGCTCAGTTGGCTTCATTCATCATGGATCGCGTTAATATTGAATTTCATGGTACAAATACGTTTAGTGGAAACACCGTCTTCGGTGCAGTTTATTTCAGCAATTCTTATATTCATGTTTATGGCAAGCTGCATTTTCTTGGAAATGTTGGCTTGCAAGGTGGTGCAATTTCAATGCAAAATTCTCAGATAGTTGTACATCCGGGATCTGAGCTACTCTTCCAGGATAACTACGCTACGTTCGGAGGCGGGGCAATCGATGTTGTGACAAATGGTGTTTATCATGTTGGTGTCATAAACAATCAGTTTTGTTTTCTTGTTTATTCAGAGCATGACAAAATTCCTAATGAATGGAAAGTAAGTATAAATATATATGTATGATGTTTGCGATGTTACTCTGAGTGTGCATCCCGACACCCTGAAAACTTGATTTGCCTGACCACGGTGGGAATCGAACCTGCGACCTTTGGGATAGTAGTCCAATGGCAATGTTCTCTCTACCAACTGAGCTACGAGGTCAAGTCGGTTCGAATTGGTGATATTTCGGAACTCAGTCTCGTTCCTTCGATATCAATGTATTCTATATGCTGAGCTTTTTGAAACGATTCATTTAATCCATTTAAATCCGTTCAGGGAGGGTTTTTAAAATTTTTGTATTATTTTTTAGTTTGATTTTTGAGTCTTTACTGCCTCGGTTTGTTTTGGCGCGAAACGTGACAGGTCAAAGCCTACATCATAGACTCAAACTCGTTCCTCACGTAGAGGAACGAGTTTGAGTCTATATGACGTAGGCTAGACAGGTCTGTAAAGGCAGATTTCCAGTCAAGCGGTTTTTTCGCGTAAATTCAGGTTATAGATTCATGTCTCGCTATTTATAATGCTAACCCTAATCCCCACCCTAACCCTAACCGCTAACCCTATTAGCGAGACATGAATCTATATCCTAAATTGAGGTTATATATAGATTCATGTCCTCGCTATTTATGAATGCTAACCCTAATCTAGCCTGCGTAGCAGGCGTTTAGTAACCCTAATCCTAACCCTAACTCATAAACAGCGAGACATGAATCTATATCCTAAATTGACGTAAAATTCGTTTCCAGTAATGCGTTCTCATAATAATCTGGATATACCCTATCAATACCCATTCAAGAGAGGCTTGGGGCAAGTCCAAGTAATGCGCAATATAAATATCAAAATGACCATTTTGCATTCATGCATTTTTTTCACGGGATCTCAATCAACTTTCTGATTGGGTGAGACATTGCGCGTGTAAAACGTTGAACCGCCGTACGTAAAAAAAAAAGGATAAAAAACGCAGCATTGGAAATCAGCCTTAACGTGTGCGAGAGCTGCCTTGTCCCTCGTCGTTTCAGTTTCGAATAGAGATCAGTGTGAGAACAATGGGCGGCGGGGCAAGGCGAGGCTAGTGGGAATGCATGAATCGCGACCGCGCGTACCGCGTACGAATGAGGGACTGTGGAAGAGTCAGGTGCGAGAGGTCCGTATTGCGTGATACGGAACTCTCGTCAACCAATCAGAAGGCTCCATTTACGTTACGGACCTGGGATTACAAACCGGAAAAATAAATGATTGTATTTCAAAGAGATTTCATTTATTAAGCTATGAATACCTATACATACATGTTTATCTGACTGATTGTAGATCTACTTAATGTATCTGAAAATACTAGGTAAACTTTACTTGACGTGATCAAAACGGACAAAACATCATTATAAATATTAATTTTTATTTAAAATTAACCAAACAAATCGCATTCACCTGTGTATAAAATATACCCTGTTGTCTGATATCTATATTCTTCGCCTATAATGACCTAATTTAATTTAGTCTGGGTAACGCTATCCTGGTTCCAGAAGCTCTTAAAGTCGTGTTTACACTACGAGCCTTGGCCTAGCCTTGGCCAGGCCAAGGCCGGTAAATGTGGCGCGTTTTACACCATTACACTATTTTTTTGAGACAGGCTCATTTTGGCCTAGAATTTTGTTATTAATTTTGTGTATTTTTATGTGTTGTGACGTTGTCCGCTGGTTGTCCGCTAATCTCTCACTGTGAGCACAGGTTGCCATGAAAATAAGGCACAGGCCAGGGCCGAAAGTGTTTACATTTCCACAAGCCTAGGCTTAGGCCACCGGTTGTAGTGAGCCCACATTTCCTGGCCTAGGTCAGGCCAAGGCTAGGCGAAAGTCTCAGCTACACTGTCAAAATGTAGGCCAAGGCTAGGCCAAGGCTGGTAGTGTAAACACGACTTTAAAGAACGGCGAAGCAAAAGCCTCTGAAACCAGGGTAGGTTTAATGGCTCATGAATTAGCCTTTCTCACAAAGGGGGGGGGGGAGGTCGCCAAAATAATTTTTCCGGAAAAAATTTTTTTGGGCAATGTGGAATTTTTTGGGCAAAAAAGCTACCGCCCCCCCCCCCCCCGAATTTAGCGGCCCCGTACGCCTATGCGGAGACTCTCAAACGTGGGAGAGGCAGTACTCCAAAAAGAAAGGCTAATTGATGCCACCCACCACCACCACGGCGCCAGAATTGAAAGATCTAGGTATTTCTGCACAATGGACCTTTCCCCTTATAACTAAAATCTCGATCTAGACAAAAATTTCATCACAGCTTGAAAGAGCGTCACAAAATTAGTAATACTCCAAAGTTTTGTTGCAAAATCTTGTAAAATGCGGATAATATAGCCTTGCGAAGTTTGCCGTTTTTCAGTCATTTTGTATTACAAACGGGAAATTGACATGGCTGCAATTTCCCGTTTGTAATGCAAAATGACTGAAAATTGCAAACTTCGCAACGCTCTATTTTCCTCATTTTACAACATTTCGCAACGAAACTTTGGAATATTATTAATTTTGTGATGCTCTTTCAAGCTGTGATGAAATATTTGTCTAGACTTGCCTAGATCAAAATTTTGGTTATAAGGGGAAAGGTCTATTAGCGGATTAGTTTCAAACGTTTAGCTATATATTGGCTGATCAGATCTTTAAAACATCAAATGCTGTTGACAAAATATGTAAATGGTGATAAAAAATAACAAAGCACACATTTTTTATTAAAATACGTAAGACATCAAGCAACCGTTTTAAGCAAGAAGATGTTCATGTACAGGTGTGATAACACTCGTAACTTCGTTTATGTTTCAGGTAACTATCAAATTCATTAACAATAGCGCAGCTTTACGAGGTCCAGCAATTTGTATTGATTCATTACTGATGTGTGCGTGGGATTCCAATTCTAAAAAAGTAGATTTTTATCAAGCTTTAAAATGGAAACCAACATTTCATTACGAAGGCAATGTGTTGTGTCCTGATCCAGGTATTTTTCAACAATGTCATCAATCAGCCAATGGCACCAATGGCAACGCTATCTCGACATTCGCTTCCACGCTCCAGGAAAGGAATGGAATGCAAACAATTAAGGTATGTCAGGGTCTTGAAATGATAAAAAACCCAATCTCGTTCCCCGAGCCTGCGACCTTCGTTTCCTTCCCAAGGATCGCAGGCTCGGGGAATGAGGTTGTAAAAAACCGACCTAGCTTTTACACACCTCTGTGAAAACCATTTTTGCAATACAGGGACGTGCTGACTATGGACGAGCCAACGAGAACTTGTTGTGGGGCCCTGCCATCATAGGCACCTAAAATGAAAACATTGGAAAAAATTAAAAATATAGAAAGATTAAGACCTTACAACCTTACAATTTATATTGTAAAAATTTAAATTTACAAAAATATTACGGAAATATTTAACAAAATTACGGTATGTGCGGAAACATTTTTGTATGTCCGGAAAAATTACGATATATCTGGAAAACGTTTTGTACGTCTGGAAAAAATTTGCGACCCAACACCAGCACCCCCCCCCCCCCCCCCCCCCCCCCAACAATTTTGGGGAAAAAATATTAATATTGACGCATTTGTCACCGGGCCTGGGCCCCATCGGACAGACATTGCTCATTCGTTGTCCTTTTTAAGATACCAGCACGTCCCTGTTGCAATAGAAAAACCATCTTACTTTCCTCCTTAGCATTGTTCAGTCATGCAACACCAAGTTGATAACTTGTTGCCGATAAGACTTGCCGATATCATCTGGGAACAAGTTGTTCCGTTTTTATGTGCCGGTGTTTAAAAGTTATGATCAAAACTCCAGTGGCGAGCTAGAGATCGCGATCCACAATTCATGCTGTTGTGCACAGTATAGGACAAATCTTTTTTTTCAAGCGCAAAATTAATTCTGTTATTTACGTTTACTTACAACATATGCTTAAATACTTGGGTTGACTGATAAATTCAGTGAACAAAAGATCTCAACAGAATCTCGTCCGGTTAATCGGATTTGGTCGTGGGTCACGAAACTGCATAAAGGCTTTGCAAATACAATACTGTTAAATGTGATTTAATAAATTGATGACAACGGAGTATATGCCTTCAGAAATATTTGGGAAATAAATATGTTAACTTACTGATTGATTGATTGATTGATTGATTGATTGATTGATTGATTCGTTCATTCATTCGTTCATTCGTTTATTCATTGAATTGTTGATTGAACTCTGATGTTTTAGACTTGTCCTGGCGAGGAAGCTGTATTGGATATTATTGCGAAAGATGAACTAAATAATTCAGTGTTTACGGTAATTGCTGATAAATTACCATCTCTTAGTTGGCTGTCGTCCCCTGAATCATTCACCGCTATTCAACCACACGGTAGCAAAGTAAGATTCAAGTACACTTATAATGCAGACTTTGTTATCCCAATTAACCAAACCATTGATGTGTATTATTATGATCTGTTTTCCGTTGGTCGAGTGTCCAAGCGCTTCACTCTACGTCCTCAACCATGTCGACCTGGATTCGTTCAGAAAAATGGCTCGTGTGTTTGTGATAGAAGTAAAACTGGAATTTTGGGGTAAGTGCATGTAATGGCTTTCAAATTAAAATCTAAATTCTTCAACTTATCGCCAAAAGAACCATTAAAATTCCATTGCTCATTTTACCTTCCGTGACTATCTTTGCAGCTTTACTTATGTCTTATTATGCATGATCCTAACGAATGGGTAGGGATAAAACGCTGAAACTGAATCGCGGAAACGGAAACTAAAAGCGGAAACTGAAATGGGGATAAAACGCTGAAATGGGGGATAAAACGCTGAAATGGAGGGTAAAACGCTGAAATGGGGGTAAAACGCTGAAATGGGGGTAAAACGCTGAAATGGGGATAAAACGCTGAAATGGGGATAAAACGCTGCTAGACCATTGCGAACACATGTAATTTGCCTATAAAACTGAATAAATATAAGAAAGAAGTTCCCGGTAAAATGACAACCACAAATTTTCGAAGAACGAATTTTATCTGACAGTTTATCTTATTAATCTACAATTCTCTCATTTCCATCTTTGGGCGTTGTTTCCTGTCATAGAGAAGTGTGGGTTCTACACGGCCAAAAACGCTGAGCCTGCTGTACTGTACTGTACTGTACTGTACTGTACTGTACTGTACTGTACTGTACTGTACTGTACTGTACTGTACTGTACTGTACTGTACTGTACTGTACTGTACTGTACTGTACAATGTACAACAGGTTGTAACAATATTATGCTGACCTATTTTTTACAGTTAACAACATTGAACAATATTATTCATCTTGAATGGGGTGCAACAATGCTGAACAATATTGTTAACATTCGTGAACAATAGGTGTAGCACATTGTTGCAACCTGTTTTTATCAACATTGCAACTACAAGTTCATGATTTTTACGTGCACATTGATACACATGCAGGAGAGGAAAAACTTTTTTCCGATTTAGACACGTGTCCTGACAATTCCCGGGAAATTCCTGTGACACCGGTTTTACACCCAAAATACCAGCCATATGGCAGTGTCAAGATAGTATGCTATCACAAAAAGTTGAGTTCGAAGTTATATGGAGAGAATTGTAGATTACATTATTAATAAAAGATAAACTGTCAGGTAAAATTCGTTCTTCGAAAATTTGTGGTTGTCATTTTACCGGGAACTTCTTTCTTATATTTATTTAGTTTTATAGGCAAATTACATGTGTTCACAATGGTCTAGCAAACAACGAATTCGATTAAATTTGCCCATTTCAGCGTTTTATCCCCATTTCAGCGTTTTACCCCCATTTCAGCATTTTACCCCCATTTCAGCGTTTTATCCCCATTTCAGTTTCCGCTTTCAGTTTCCGTTTCCGCGATTCAGTTTCAGCGTTTTATCCCTACCCCCTGACGAACAGCGTTCTCTCACTTTAACGCGTTAATAGCGTTCTCTCACTTTAGCTAGTATTAAGTACATAACGGGGAAGGGTTTGAGGGTGAAAATCAATGAAACAAGGTAAAAATCTAAATTCACGCTTCAAAAAATTTTCTTTGTGTTGCCTAATGTATTTGCATTCACTATACTTGAATTGTAGAGCCTGTTTCAAACCTTGCGTTTCTTGTGTGCCAAACGCATTAAAAACAATAGATAATCAGCTGAAATGTTTCTAATGCATTTGGCACACGAGAAGCGCGACGTTTGAAACAGGCTTTACAAGCTCTCATTTTTCACAGATCATTAATGATCCATAAGCGTACAGGGCCGATCCTTTCCGATAAGTTGCCCAAACTTTTATGGAGCTCGAGAATTGTAATAAAAATAAACTGAACTCTTTAATAATTAAGGGCTTACGACTCGCATATTGGTGACCGTCTTGCCCATTTGTCCAGTTTTTAAATATTTTATTTCTCTTACGTATACAATAATTAAATTACATTAAATGTTATGTAATTCTTCTTTTGGTCTTTCGTTTATAGATGCAATGGTGTGACTGGGGTTTATTGTTTAATGTAATTTCCTCTTTTTCAAAAGTGTTTAGTGTTAAAGTAGCGAACATTTTACAGTTTAATGTTAGAGAAAACTTTACATTTTATTGCTAAGCTGCCAAATTTGATATTTTGGTGTAATAATTTATGCTCCAAATTAAAGTGCACATACAGCGATTTGGAATTTTACATATTTCTGACAATGAGTACACTAAGACGAAATGCATTATATTTTTTAAGAGAAAACGTCATGCATCCTCATTGTCTTTTTCCCTCTTTAAAAAGCTGCCAGAAGTGACTTAAAATAAGGCATTTTTATGGCAGAGACAAAAACAAACTGATTTAACGTCACATCCTATACCTTTAACAGCCAAAAAATGTAGTTTTTCTCTAAGAAAATATATTGCATTTCGTCTCAGAATGTACTGAATATCACAAGTATGTAAAATTCCTGTGTGTGAAAAATAATAAGTGTTAAAGAGCACAAAATTGTGACGTTTAATGTTGTTATGATTCCCTATCTAGATTCTCAGCTAACGATACAAAACAAATCGTTTTTCTTGCCAGATGTACAACAGATGGTCACTATGTACAGTATAAAGAAGGTTATTGGGTTGGTGTAGTTGATCATGCTTTTACAATATTTCCATGTCCTTTTGGTTACTGTTCTTGTCCCAAACCTCCACAACATGGTACAGCAACAAGTGGTTGTTTTTTCAATGCTGTCAACAGAACTGATCATGAAGCATGTGCGAACAGACGCTTTGGTACCCTGTGTGGTAAGTGCCAGGATAAATACACGGTTGGGATTCAAACTTTCCGGTGTGTTCCACGACAACAACATACCGCATGTATATGGACTACTGTTTTCTCATTCATTTTCACACTTTTGTTCTGTATTCTCATTCTTTATTTTAATCCTGGATTAGATAATGAACTTCGAGGTCCATTGTTCTTTTTTCAAGTCCTTCCATTATTCTTTCCTCCTGTTCAAACGCAAGTAACTTTTAATGTTTATAATTTTGTTGTCTTCCTGGCATCGATATTTGATTTCACAATCCCATTCTTTGGTTATTTCTTTTCCAAATGCTATATTCTAAATGATCAAGATAATTTAGATATGTTGGCATGGAGCTATAGTTCTTCTGTAATAGCTTCACTTGTCTTCCTTGTTGCCTTACTCCTCAGTTATAAACGTGTGATTCTTATAAGAAGAAAAAACGCTGTACAGTGTTTCTGGGTTTTGTTAATACTCATGTATTCCAGCCTCATGATGACATCGTTACGTATTGTTGACTGTCCTTTAATCCAAGGAAAGTTTCGTCTCTATCTACAAGCATCAGTGACATGTCGTGAAAGAACTAGGCATATAGTCTTGTCAATTGTAGCATACATTTTGCTAGCAGGTGGAATAGTAATACCGATGTTGATCGTTGTTTCGACGAAAACCAACCGACTAAAGATTGCTCCACATTATTTGGATACATTAACAAATAAACTGAAAGAAGGACGTGTATTTTGGTGGAGTGTGGATCTCTTACGTCGTTTTCTTATCGTTGCTTTGGGTAATCTCATTCACATCTGGAAGGAGAAGCAGGTATGTACTAGAAGTTTGTTAAATTTTTGGAACTCTAAGTGTAGTTTTCCCACGTTTGACGTCATTATGAAAAAGCATCGATGAAAAACCTATGACGTCAAAAACGTATAAAATATTTAAAGAAAATAAAACAGGCAAATAATTAATTTAAAAAAAATCTTTGACGTTGGAAGGACCCCCAGTTGTGTGTGAATGCCAAAATTCTACCTATTCTGGAGACTCAATCTATTTGAAAATACCACTTTCCAACCACCGATTTTGTTATCATATTTTTATTTAGAAGAATAATTTTAGAAGAATAATATTTTTATTCATTTCATTTTTTCAATTTAGGTTGCTTTGGTACTCGCTGCAACATTTATTCTGAGCATCCATTGTTACTTCCAGCCATATGAAGAAACACGAGCCAATATTTCAGAAATGATTTTCTTGTTTGTGTTATCTGGATTGGGTATCTTTCAGTTGATGGATATTGATGATGCTGATCGAGACAAAACCAACTTGGCCATTGTTTGTATCATGTTGTTCTATACCATCATTCTGGTTGCCATCAAGCTTGTAGTGTTTGTACAAAATAGGACCAAGCCTGCAGTAGACAACGAAGGATATGAAAGACTCGAGGGAGAACCTTCTACCAGTGCGACGTCTCCAACAATTGCCGTCACAGATCAATCTCTTGAAGAAAGACGAGAAAAACTTGCATTTTTGTTCTCCAGATCAGAATCTCCACGCCCAAAAGCGGAACGCAGAATTTAACAAACAACGATGCTGTAAACTAAACATAGTCTGTGTAACGGAACATTAATTTAAACAACGATAATATTAAATTTTATTAAATTTTAAGCTAAACCACGATAACCGTGACAAAACTAAATCACGCGATATATAACTGTTGTGGTCGTTACAAAATCAATGGACTAGAGGGAGAACCTTCTATACCTTTATAGTATGCTAAGCTAAGCTTGATAATATAAAGGCTCCGTCCAAATTAACACGAGTATAATGATTCTAAATTGTTTTTAACTATCTATATACTGAACAAAATAGTTAATCTTTCAATGTTTCAGTGATGGCAAAAAGTTGAACAAAATAGTTAATCTTCAGTTTTACCTTTCTTAAAATACTTTTGATACTTTACCTTTCTAATTTCTAAATACGTAATTAGAACGGACGACAAAACTATCACAATATAAGATTTATTATATTAAAGTAAGTATGTAAACTAGGGGTCTAAATTCAAAAGCCTCTACAGGTTTCTATAGACTCCTAGCCCAGCATCAATAATTTTGTACATACATTTACATGTTACTAATATTTCATAATAACATGACCATGGGGGGAATCACTTACCAAAAGTTAGAAAATTTTTGTAGAGATAATTACAACTTGTATTTTGTAGAGATAATTCTTTGAATACTGTTAATACTTAATACTTAGAAAATGATTTTAAATCGCTCTAACTGAACAATTTATACTTTGGGCTTAGACTTCGTTGAAAATATGATTGGGAATGGAAGAGGAATATTTTCCTTAAATATTTAATATTCCTACCTCTAAAATTAATCTTCCTACCTTAAAAAATTCTTGAAAACCTAGGGGAGTGTTCATTATTTATGGTTTGGGTTTTTTTGGGGGGCGGCATTTTACACCTCCCTCTCAATATCTACATGACCCTCCCCCATCTGGTAACAACAAAACGCACATGACCCCCCCCCCAGACCAAAACTTTTGCATGTGACCCCCTTCATTTTATATAAAATACAGTACAACTCAAGTGTATAAATATGGTATGTACAATATCAGTTAAATAATTAAAAAGTCTTTATTTTATGACGTTTATAGTACAAGTTTACAGGAGCTTTTGCATTATTATCCATTTAATAATTCAAAATTTTCATGTGCTATAATAACATGCCAGAACTGAAACTTTCATGACAATTACTCCTCAAACTCTGGTGACCCCTCAAAAACAAAAACAAACTATTTCCATGATTTCACCGCCCCCACCCAAACTATATATAATATATATTCATATTCCTATTCTTAATATTTATAATCTTCCACGCCTGAATGTGACTTTCATTAGCTAGTATAATGACCATCTATGATAGTGACGGACGAGCACTTTGAAGAGCTTTGAGTTTGAAACACTTTGTCTTTGATATCAAATATTTCAAATATTGGTAATTAGGTGGTAATTACATTTTTGATGCTCACATGCATTATGATGAGGGTCCTGAAGGGGTAAAATGGGAACTGGGATTGATCTATTTTTAGACTGGGAAAATGGGATTTGGGTTGCTGGGACTGGGATTTGGCCACTGGGAATGGGAAATGAAGTCCTCAAAAATGGGAATGGGATTGAGGTAATGTGAGTCGATTCCCAATTTTTCTGCGTTTTGAGTATTTTAAAATACAATTTTGATCCGTTTTTGGTGTCTTTGGTCACGATTTTTGTTGTTAAGAGGAGAATTTTTTCTATGTCGCGTCTTTTCGATGAAAAGCGCTCAAAACCTACGCAATGCAAAAAATGACGTTGTCGCGTACGCGTCAGCTGTATGGCGTTTACAAAATAGCAAAAAAGTTAAAACTTTTGAGAAAATAAGCTGAAAAGCCGTTCAAATCTGCTATATTTTCAGGTAAGTGCTTTTAACTACTCTAGAAATATAAAGAATATATCGTTTTGTCTTTCGTAAAATTGGTGTAATTGGTAATAAATATTGTTCTGATTTTTTGTAACTTCCGGTGTTATGATTTATGAAAACAAGAAAGCCATTCAAAGTCAGTCAAAATATGTCGTAATTTTATGCAATTTAAAGAGATGTAAAACTAGTCTTTTTAAAACGAAGATCTAAAAATGATGCGAAAAATATTACTCTCCGGTGTTTCTTGTTGCTATCTTGGCCAGACTCTTTCGATTCGCAGCTTTCATATATTTATTTTAGCTGTAGCGCGTTTCGTCCTAAACTCTAAAGGCTAAAAACCTGACATCGACGAGGTTTTAGATCTGCTTTCGTCTTCATACAATTTTAACTCAAGGACATTTGTAAAAGCAAATTCGTGCAGCCAATAAGGCAATAGTAAACTATATAATCAACATATATAAACAATGTTTGAACATTTAGACTATACATGTAAATATGTTATTACTTTCCCTTCAATTCAGATACGTAATTTAGCAAGAATGACTACTAGGCCTACAGATGTGAACGAGAAGGTATATTTATCTATGAGCAACTTTTATTTTGCTGTTTAAGTTGGTGAAAATCTCGCTGGTCATGCAACATTTATATATTTCCGAACTAGACTGCACATTTTTTCACAAATTATTACTCTTATCTTGACTTGCAGAGCATTCAAACTCTGAGAGCACTCTACGGCAAAAATAAGCCCTCATCGAAAAAGATTCAAGCAACTGAAATGTTTATGAAAGGGGAGAATTCTTTTCTGGTAATTGCGAGAGTCCTGAACGTTGCTACTGCCACAGCAGAAGTATATGCAATCGACGGATATTGTTCTGGTGCCCCATTATCTTACCAAGACCTGGCACCACAATTTAATTCAAGTTAAATAATGAAGAAGCAGATATTATTGCTGCTGAGCTACGGAGAGACAACGTTAGCTTAAGAATCGTGCGAGATGCACTTCAAAATGCTTTCAGTTACAACCAAATTAGGCTTGTGCTAGCTGCATTGATTCGCGGGGAAATATGAACTGAGTCAGAGTTGCATGATGTCCTATTCCAAAGAACGGACACTTCTTTTCTCAGAAGAGTATAAGACAAGTTTTTTATAACTTAGGAGTTTTAGGATTTTTAAATAAGAAAATAATTTGTGTATTTAAGAAAAGAAAAACAGTTTTTGTGAATTTTAAATTGTGAATTTAAAAATTTGATGTTGTATTCGAAACTAAAAATCTCTTACCTTTTTTGCTCCATTTATAATATTCACTCCAGGGAAACACGTTTTTCAAACTGTTAGCACTTATTATATATCAGTAATTTCCGTGAATCAGCTTTCTGTGGAGTAATTTTTATCACTTTCACGATATATACACCCAAAATATTCCACAAGTATTCTTTGCATGCTTGACAATGGCAAAACGTTTCGACTTTCGAGCACGACGAGCAGGTTTTACCAGTTGCATAGCAACCAACAATAACGGCTGAACCGGGGGGGGAGGTAAATTAAAGGAAGGCTAGGAAGCTGAAGCAAAATGATTCATGATTAATTTTGCGTGTTCTTAATCGAATGACATTTATTTTGAAATGAAAAAAGAAAGGATGATAACATTTTATATTGTTGATTGTTTTTTCGAGACACTCTGTAGTAGCAACCTGTTTAGTGTTATAATTGGGATTGTATCTTGATGATAAGGACCCACTAGAAGTCATATTCACAGTATAATTGTGGAAATTTCCGTAAATGCGGCTTTAATTACTCAATTCGATCCGCCAATATTAATTTCCGACGTATATGACGGGAAGATTAAATATTAAAGAACTTCGCGAGTATTTGCAGTAGACATACGAAAATACCACCAAAAAATTCCGCTTGATCGATACTATATATTCAGAAATATTCATATAATTTTATTGTTTCTCGCTCAATTTCAAGCGAATTTCTTACCTTGAAATGATCAATGCGGTGAAATTTATGCAAATGACACATCAATTTTGCTGTTGCATTTTGAATGTTTCGCCTGATTCAAATGCTCGTCTTTTTGCTTCTTTTCAACGTATAATAATAACAAATATACCAAAAGAATCGCCATCTTCCATTCTATAGCTCGGAGCAGTCTCGGGATATTGCGAAATAATCTAAGCCTATTATGGCAATTCTCGTGATCGGAAAGTGTTCGGCCAACTTCGGACGCCAAATTCTTGGTAGCCTGCATGGCAGGCGGTATTTCTACGGGCAGCGAAAATTAGGGAAGCAAAGGAAATACCGTCTGCCGCAAAACTAGGGGTTTTTGAATTACCCGTCCGCTGGTGAACGGGAAAAACGGATTGGTTAGTATTTTTATGTAGTTGTCAATCAACGGCTAAATTCGGTTAAATGTTTTAAAACTATATTATTCACAGCACTACCTGCGAACAGGCATACTCTGGCGCCCGGAATTCTGGGTTTTATGATTATGCGTGTCTCAGAATGCTGCAAATGCCATTTCCAGGATTCAAATCTAAAAATTTTCCGTGCCTTTGGCACGAGCCCCCCCCCCCCTGATATTTCATAAAGTGTCCGCCACTTGCTTAAAAGGTCTTAAAACTGTTTATTCTACCGATAAATAAAGGGGTTTTTATTGACTGGGATTTCAATAACTGGGACTGGGATTTGTAATAAAAATCCGACTGGGATTTTGCCAAAATTTCGGGTGGGAAATGGGATTGGGACCCCCCCTTCAGGACCCTCTATGATCGCTTTGTGCCTTGGGGATAATTCCAGGGACAGCGGAGCCTGTTTAAAAGTGGGCGGGGGGAGGGGCAGGATAGCACGGGAGCTATGCCACGCAGGCAAGCTGGATTTCATCCGGTAATGTTTTTATCCACCGAAAAAGTGGGGGCCGTGGCCCCCGCCCCCCTCTGTTCCACGGTCCCTGATGTAGTATAGATTATAGTATGGTTTCGAGAGCAATTTGGAAAAAAAAACAAGTACGAGTGAGATTTTCAGACTATCAAAAATTTGAAGTCTTTGAAAAACTCACAATTAAGTGTTTGTTTTTCCAAGTGGACGAGAATTGAAAAACCATATAGTCTAACCGAGTAAATAAAAATTTACTCACTTATTTGCATGGTATAGCAAAACCTTTTAAATAAAAAAAAATATATGACTTTTGTTTTGGCGCTTGCCACGTATCCCTTTATTTTAATTTGGTACTGTATTTGATAAAATTGTACTCATCTAATAGCCAATCCGAATCGAGTAATTTTTTCATGTATATTATGTACTGCAAATTGTATTGTGTTAGCAGTTTTTATATACTAATACGAATTAACAGGCAACTTAAAAGTAGCCATTGATATTATTTGTTTCTGATAGATAGAACAAAATTGCCATGTTAGTATAATTGCATAGGTGATTATTGAAAATTCTCCACGCTGATTGGTTGCCGTTGAGGTTATTTAATATAACCCGATAATCACAGCTAAGCGATTTTCGAAATGGCGGCCGAAGCCCACGTTTTGTCTGAAATTAAATGACGAAGAAATGTGTATTTTTATTTTTTTCCAAATAATCACCTATGAAATTATACTAAAACAATTATTCACCTAAGGCTCGGTGATTATCGTGAATAAAAACCTCGACTCAGTCTCCGTTTTTATTCACCGATAATCACCTCGCCTTGTAAAAGCAAGATGAGCTGAAGTCGAGGTTTTTCAAATTCTGCTTGTATGTTTCAGATCGATAGTTGTATGTACTCTCAGGGGGGGGGTTACCACTACGTGCACGTCTGCCTACTGAATAACTACCAAACTGGATCGAGACCATTGTCGAGACTTGCTCCAACTCGACATCTACTACTTGCTAATTATATGTCCTTGGCGAAAGTCTAGACCGGGACTGTTTCACAGTGTTTTTTTTAATATCTTTCTTTTTCTGTGGTGATTGGACGTTTTATACACGCGTAAAAACTATGAGCCTGCTGTTTAACAGGATTGCAGGGGCGCCGGAGCCACGGAGGCAGCGGGGGCAACTGCCCCCGTTGCCCAAACAGTGCGGGGGCAGCACGGGGGCAACAGTTGCCCTATTTGTAAGCAAAGTTTAAGCAATCTTTGCATAAATTTTAACCAGTTGTAGTAAAAAACTGTAAAATTAATGCTAAATCAGGCAATATACATCCGTATACTCAATTTAAACCAGCCAATGGCTGTTTGGACGATCACCTGATTTTAAATATTGTTATCATCATTATCATCAACGAATAAAATTGTTCAAAATTAATGTCGAAGTGTGCAGACCCATAATAGTCACAAGTAATCGAGTATCCATACAGTAAAGTTTTAACAAATATTGCCGCCCAGAAAAAATGATGGCTGAGAAGCAAGTGCCCTTTTGAAATGGCTGCCCCCGCCGCTTCACATTGCTTCCGGCGCCCCTGCAGGATTGAACAATGTTGTGCGGCCCACATTGTTCACACTTGTCAACAATATTGAACAATATTGTTGAGCCTGAATTGTTGACAACTGTGAACAATGTGGGCCGCACAACATTGTTCAATCCTGTTTTCATCAATATTGCAACAACTTCTTTCTTTCATCAATATTGCAACAACAATATTGCATCTTTGCTTTCAGTTTGGTGCTGAGGCGTTCGGATTCTAGCAGTGCGTTGTTTCATTGGTTTTCGGGTTTTTTTGGGACACCCTGTACAGTATACTGTGAATTAAAAGGTCTATGCTAGGAAAAGGAGGGGTACCATGCAATGGACTTTACGTCCAGTTTGTGCCTTGTCCGTTTGAGTACAGCTCTTTTTAATTGTTTGTTAGATGAATATTTGTTGAATTAAGGTAATTTGTACTCAATAAAGTTTAACAAACTTGAAACTTGAAACCTGATCGTTTTTAGCTGTTTATGCGAGTGTTCATGGTTCATCCCTAGATGCAAACGACGGTAAAGGCATTCTTTCTTGCTTGGGTCAGTGGTTGAAGTAAAAAGCATGCGCGAGTGGAATCATTAGGCATTTGTTTTGAATTTTGCAAATGGAGGGAAAGCAAGAGCTGTGAATATATACATTACATTGATGGTGAAGTTTGAACAATTGTACATTACAAGAAGTAAAAGATGACATCAAGATCACCAGATCTATTTGAGAGATATATGACACAGTCACATACAAGTCCTGATCAGGAGAGATTTTCTATATCGCCAGATTTTAGTCATCGAATTCACGTCGAGAAAGTATTTTGTACGGAGAATAATGTCGAGCAATGTATTGCTTATTTGAATCAGGTTTGTCGGTTGAAAAATGTATTGTACTTTTGAAATATGAATATTAAAGTCTATGTTATTGTCTGACATGTATTGTACTTGTCAGAATTTAAGCCAGAAGGTCCAGAAGCTATGATGGAATATTTTATAAGTCTACGTGTCAAAACTAAACATCTATGCCTTATAAACCTAATATCGTCTTGAAGATATGCTTAAACCGTCAGAAAAATATGTGTTACTTCTCTTTTTCGTTATAAATATTTTTATCGGCCTGTTTTATACACAACTATTATGAGTAGTTGACAAGTGTTCACCTGAGTGGCCGAGGGTGTTTACATTAAGAAGCTTATATTAGACGTCACGAAATAACTTAGATACGTGTCACCTGTCCTTTTATATATTTTGTATATTATATATTAAGACATTCACAAACTGCACTGCCATTTAGAATCATATTTACTAAGTTTTAGGTGTAGTTTAATAAAGCAAGCACGCAATAAAAATTCTCAGCATGTTGCTGTTTAATGTAATAGCATGACTTCACTTCCTCTGTCAGTGTTGTTAATCCATTCAAATGTGTTGTTAAATCAATATCTTTTATTGAAAATCTAATAAGATATTGGGTGTGTATAGGAATATAACTATTTTGTATTATGCTCCAGGGCTTCTAATCTGGTGTAATTAAATTTACAAATTTTATAGGCATAATTTGCTGTAACATTTTAAAACGTATGATGATATTAGTAAAAATACTTGGTGTGAAAAATCCCTAACACATCTATCAACACATACTATTACCATGGAGATTTAAATGTGCTTGTATTTTTATAATTTTTCAATGTTAGATAATTTATATCTATAGCTTCTTATGCCAAGTACATTAATTAACACACATATCAGTACTTCTCAGGGATATATTTCAATACAAGACAGATTCTGATTGTTCATGTTTTGGAGGAATATCTGCATTGCATTGTCTAACATTGGTCTGATTTGGTAGATCATCCATCAACAGTGAGATCATCCATCGATTGCTGATGGGTCATCTTTCTTTGTAGCTAGATTATCACAATTTATCTTGTCAATGTTCCAGGAAAACAAATCATACCTGGTGTTTTCCTGAATGCATGGCCGCATAAGTTAGAAAACCATGGAGCAGCTCTACCTCCATAGCCTTAGGGACTTGAGTTCCATGTTCAAAATGTAGGATTCAATTTAACTTAGCTAAATTTGCAAGAATTCTGGGGTTATAGGTCAACTCCAAATGATCATGAAGTTAAATATCTGAACTGGGAGTTACTGGTTAACAACTTACAAAATCACAAAGCCATTTATCTAAGCCTGACTGCACCAAGCATCTAAGGTTGGCTACCTACACAAAATAAAACCTCCAGGCATGTCTGAATGTCCATTCTGCATTTAGACACATAGAAATTCACTGTCAAGACAAACATGTTGTTTACATACCCATTGGACAGAAAGTTCAACTTCAGAGATGATCTGCTGATTGCTTTGTTTATATACTGACAAATTGTCATTTATCAGACCAGCTATTTCTCATTGCCTAATCCCATCCAGATGGATCATCAGATATGTCTCTAGTATAAATTGAGGATGGTAAAGGGTATTTCTGTGAGCCGTGAATAGCCAATTGATTTGTTCTCATGAAATGTGAAATGACTGATTTTTGCTCTGATTTTTGTGTCATGAAATGTGATTTTTTGTCTGAGAAACGAGAATTTAAGACTGTATGAATAGTAAGAATTAAGTGCAAACGTGCACAAGAGCAATGTTTTGGATGTAACAATTTTACTGCATGCATGTATTTTTACTATACTGTTATATTAGTTGGTTTTAAAAAAAGTCGTTCAATGTTAAGCTTTCAGCGCTAAAATTCGTTTCGAAAACGTAAAAATAGGCCAACAGGTTAAAAAAGACATTAATGCTCCAGATAGAAAATAAAATATATATAATATACATAGTTGAAAACGTGGTTAGAAACGGGATTTTTAATTTTCGTACAGTCATAATTCATTTGTACACTGAATTCACTGATACACATGTACACTACATGCATACATCATGTCGTTGACTTTGGCCCTTTCGAAGCCCTACCTTTCCATGGGGGTCGTGAGCTAGACCGCTGCACCTCGTGTAAATCTGACATGTTTTAACTGTTATTAAGAAATGTTGAAGTCAATTGTAGTTGTTTGAAAGTTGTTTGTAAATGCAATTGTATACAATTGTTCTAAAGACCTGTTTACACTTTGAAATTTTGTCTCGTGTTTTACTGACTTTCTTTGAGAGTTTCTATATATACTTGCCACTGTAGTACCACATACATATCTCTGTGGGGTGGCATACGTTTCTGACGGAAAACTATTTACATTATTTCGCACTTCGACCTACCATGCAGGATCTGATGATCATGCAATATTTAAATGCAAACTATTAAAATACCAATTAGAAAAGCGGAAATGTTAACAAATTGAAGGCGTGTATGTAGATCAAATAAATGATTTACTGCTGTATTAAAAATTCAAAAGACTGATGAAGGGGGACTAGAAAATAAAATCTTGAAAACCCAAGTTATGGAACAAGACGTAAACTAAAATTTACATCTTGTTTTAGTCACGTCTTGGGTTTTCAAAATGTTTTCGGTTTTTGTTTTATACTCTATCTTCTATGTCAGCTAGTTCTGACTGATTATTTTCGAGGGTACTTTGACAGTATACCATGCACACGCAGACTGTTACCTTATACGACAGCTGTAGCCTGAATTGACTTCGTCCATTTGAAGAACAACAAAAACTTTAAACATTGTACAAGACAGAATAAAATTCAAATAAGAAAACTTGATATCAAGGCTATCCATGATTCCATGTACTTTGGCACGATCTGTTTTCAAAATTGGCTATGACAAGGTTAATCTGATTCCCGCTTAAGAAGATTATTATAAGTAAGTGAAAATTAAGCCAAGATTAATATATAAAGCTATATTAATTACCATGCCTAGAAACCTTTATATACGGAAATCCTACTTATGGAAAGTTTTGCAGTGCATATTTACGACTAAACTTATCCTTGTCTAAAGTAATGTTTGATAAAATATTGTATAAACATTTTACAAAGTTTCTCTTTATATAACCCTCAGAGTAACATCACAAATATCATATTCACCTGAGTACATAACACCAATACAGAAAAAAATCATAACCCTGTCTGTTCCAAGTGGAAAGATGGGCAGTTTTGATTCAGGAATTTCTGAGAAAAATGTTGGAAGAAGACCTGTTTTGTATGCGAAAATAACGAGATTTTATATCTTGTAGCTATTACTATCTATGTTCACCATTGATACGACCACAGAATATTCTAGTACTGTACTAGGTTAGATACAAGCAAGATATCTATGGATACAAGTTGTTGACCGAGGTGGCCTGGGAACTAGCGGTGGTACTTGCATGGACTAAGGAAAGATCCATGTAAACTACACTCGGGCAGCTTCCACCCATCACAGCATTACAAATGATGGTGAAAAAAATAATGCAATAAAATAACTCTGCATTACTCTGCATACCTATATAAGTTAATAAAGGGTGAGATGGAGGGAGTTTAAACTTTTCGCTTTATTTTAGATCTGATCCATACACTTTGCGTGCTAAACAGCTAATGACTATATACATGTTGTGCAAGCAACGTATGCAAGGCACCATCCGGATCACGCGTGATTCACTAGCTGTTGACTTTAGTTAATATATAACCTCATTTATAAATACATTAAAATATTTACGTATGCATGTAGTTTTTTTCTCAAGATATTTAAAGTTTGATACGCATCCACACCAAAATCGCATATACTGTATATACATTTTCTACTATACACTCGTCGCAAAAATGCTTGAAAATTATGTAATCAGTGGGGGCTAGATAGCAAAATTACTACCGTAGATTAAACAGATACATGGGCACAATCAATGTGTTGCATTCTATGTGTAATTATTTTGATTTATACTTTCCAGGAATTGGTTATGCTTGGTTTTTCATCATTGTATAAAAATTCTGAGAGAAGTGGATACAGTGTTGTAAGACTTATTAATAATTTATATGAACTTCTACAACTTCAAGTAAAAAATAATCAAGTGAAAGATGATTTGGAAACAAGGTAAAAATGATAATTTTCTGATAACAGAAAACTAGCACATCTCTGGTTATAGGCGTGCTGCTAACGTGCGTGGGTAGGGTATTGTTACACAAAAATTAGGTATCACTGGACAGCTAAAAGCCTTATTTTATCAATAAACTCGATAGTTATCACACGCGAACATGCCAAAGCTAGATTACCATTTTTTATTTACACCCAATATATTTTGTCCAACAGTTTTGTTCTAATATCTTCTTTTGTTACTAGGCAACAGAGATCAGATTGTGATAATGAATTTTTAGTTCAAAATCAAGCTCGTCTGAAGGTTTGTTCAAACTTATCCTGAACAGTAATAACATGACGTCATTTACCTTTATTTTAAACTCTCGCATATAATACTAATAGTTAAATAGTTTGAGCCATCTTCATTATACTTCTGCAGTCTTAAGAGTTGCGATGATTTCTGTTATGAATTTTTAACATTAGTCATTAGTAAATTATTAGTTAGATTTTAACATGAATATCATTTTAATCCTTTTATGCGTTTCTGGTTTCTGACTAGGCGTTGAACTGCTCTTAACCAATCAGAATTGAGAAATTTTTTCATATATATTATTAGATATACGTTATACCGAAAAATTCCGATATATCGGAAATTTCAATATATCGGTGTGACTGAAAAACTCATACCGATAAACCCATATTGGTTTCAATACCGTTATTATCATGCATGGGTATACCGCGAACATTCCTAGCGGCCATGTTGTTTGTATATCCGAAACCACACGGACGCGAATGTTGTAAATAGGGAGCTTAAGATGACCCAAATCTGCGACGCGAAAAACAGCCGCTAATAATTGGAGACTAGTTTTACTTTGTTTTTCTCGTGTCCCTGGCTTTGTTTACCAACAACAATCCATAGTTTTTACCCGTGAAGTGAAACTGTGATAATAGCGGCAGTTTTTGGTCACGTCCGCGTCGTAGATTTGATGTACATCTTAAGCTCCCTATAATGGCTTGTGAAGAACATTCGTACTCTTCAACAATTTAAAATAAATTAATGATATTTGGTGAGAAAATTGAACTGACTTAAAGTTTATGCAATGATGCATGATTTTTATTTTTGTATCAGATATACATACTCCTTCGGTCATGATTTCTTTTGTGATTTGTTCATGAATTATTAATGAGTTTCACAATGTTTTTTGTACTATTTAATAAACGAGCAGGAGTGTTTTATTAGGTTTTTATTTATTTTATCAAACAGAACGAACTGGATGTATCACAAAGAGAGGTTGCGCGGTTAAAATCAAAACAAATAGAACTGTCGAAAAGTAAAAAGTCACTGGAGAGTTCTGTAAAGGCTCAGAAGGAAGAAATAAAGAAAATGAAAGGAAATCAGCAATATTTAAAAAAACAATTTGAACATGATATTAGGAAAGGAGAAAGAGAAATGGCAAAGCTTAAAGAAAAATTAGTTCAGGTATGGGAAAATCACAGAGGGAAAATTAGTTCAGGTATATATATTCAGTAAGTAAATTTTGAATATAATAATTATATTAGGTTAATAACTTAATATATGCGAATACATAGCTATATCAGTATAATCAATCAAGATACGGCCTGAAATCTTAAGCTATACAAACGTCTTTCTATTATTATAATAGCTCAAGATATACGAATTATATTGATGAAGGGGACAGCACTAGCTGAATAGAAGTACTATCACAAGGACAATTTCTTAATTATTCAAGTTTGAAAAGCATTTTGATATAGTTGTATATTAGTTGATTCAGTACATTGTAAGTGTTTTACTTTCTCCGCTTTAGTTATTGAACTACAAGACAAAGGAAAAATCCTTAGGAATGGATATGCTGAATTCCATTCAACGGGCTGATGGGAAACGACGCACTTGGAACACAGGAAATAAGTATGCTGTTTTATTTTTGGACAAGATTTAGTCGAAGATTTAAGTACACAGGGTTCGCACAAAACTTGAAAGTCCTCGAATTTGAAAACAAAAACTCGTGGCTTTGAAAGTCCTTGAATTTATAAAAAAAGTGCTTGAAAGTCCTTAAATTCTACTTGCTTTAAAATAGTTTTCGGATATTTTCGGCTGAAATTGTTTTACATTAAAAGACGGCGTTTTAGTTGAGTTGCATGACTTTGTTCATGTTTGATAAAGCTCAGAAATTCATTAAACATTTGAACATTTTAACGTCACTTTTTACTGATTTCTTACGTCTTCTTTTCAGCCGTTCCTGATACATGGCCTTGAAAGTCCTTGAAAAGTCCTTGAATTTCACTCTTCCTAACTTGTACGAACCCTGTCCCATATCGTATTGGAATTTATCATATCAGTTAAATTTGATGTGAAACTCTGAAGTAACGGACCTCTTATTAACTGACTCTTACGCCTGTATTCTAAAAGCTCACTCACACTCAATGAGTGGAAGTTCAATCTGAGCTTCTCTCGAGTGTCATTGCTGTTTTTGAATAGCGGCAGGGTTAGTGTCGTACCTTACTATGTGACTACTCACCCTCCAGCTATTCAAAAACAGCATTGACATTCAAGAGAAGCTCAGATTGAACCTCCACTCATTGAGTGTGAGTGAGCTTTTAGAATACAGGCGTTAGGCCGTCCAATGGACACAATCCCCAATGGTGTCTGTCATTTAGAGCTTCCCGACTGTGATTTGTGAAAACTACCTGCATGAAAAGGTACAATCCATCAAGAAGTGTTTTGGCTAAATATAAGTGTTGAATTGGTTGCATACTATTTTGTGCAAATTAAGTTATTTTGTCTTTGTATAGATCTTTGATTTCGTTATTTTTTGCTAAAATTATTTTGTCTTTGTATAGATCTTTGATTTCGTTATTTTTTGCTAAATATCTATAGCTTTTTATTTCTAGGCATGATGAAGACATGTATCGATTGGTTGTGAATAACTATGAAGAGAAACAAAAGGTACTACCGCGCTATGTCAGTTGTGTAGGGAAAGACTACTAGTTGTGAAAGAGAAATACGTTGAATAGTTGTAAAAAGAATGGATTCCTTCATTGAAAAAAATTAAAAACACTTTTCAAATTATTGTAGTTAGGAAGGTTAGGAAGTGAGTTTTTTTTTAAGGTTAGGAAGTATTTTTCACGTAGTTTAGAAGACACAAATCAGATCAGGGCAGCTGTTGTAAAATACTACTTACAGGGTCAGGCAATTAGATATGTTCTGACTATTAACCCTTAACGCCTTTCATTAAATCGTTTTAATTAACACCAACAGATATTTTATAAACACAGGGGCGTATAGGAAGCGATGTAAAATTGGGCAGCACTGCGTCTTAGGTCATTAGAAAAGAGCACTTTTCCTATTCTTTTATCTGGAAAGTGGGCTCTTAGAGGAAAGTGTGCATGGGCGGGGAGGATGTCCCCTTGTGCAGTTAGCTGGTAAACTTGAACGCTGGTTAATAAATTCATCCGTTAAAACACTAACTTGTGGCGTTATTTAACAGTTTGACGGCGTAATTGACTCAGACTGTAAACCACTACAGTCTGTAATTCATGGACAGCCTGAAAATACAAAATAAAAGTTTCGATTGGCAAGAACTTATCCAAGGGTGCCCAATTAGCGAAACTGACACCCGTAGCACAGAGTAAATACCATACAGATGTCTCACTATTAATTTCAGCATAAGGGTTTTTTTCCAGTCCGCCATGTTCTTAGTAAGTACCTAAAGAGAGGCCCCCCCTCCCCCGCTGAAAACATATTTAAAAAATTTAATGTTCCAGTAAAAACTAACTTAGATTTTGTCTCGCGAAGTGAGACCTCTGTATGGTTAGTATTCTGTGCCCCTAGATTTAACTCAACTTCTGAAAGTAGCCTTGCTCACGCCATGCAACCAGGCCGTGTCCACCATTTTTGGGCGGCAAACTGCACGGGAAAAGTAGAAGGCAACAAGCGAAGGAATAAATTTAGAAAAATACAAACACAGTACTATATTTTTTGTTTATAAATACTAATTTACTTCACTAAAAAATTAATTGTCGAGTACATTATACAGATATCTTTGAATGATATTTGAAAAAAGAGGTTCGCGTAAGCGGCCCGGTATGCATCAACTACTGACAATGTTTCTCATTACATCTCTGTATGTTACGTAACACGCGCTCAAAACTAATGAATATTCCTTTCCACTTGGTTCTGATACGTTTCTCAAGCGGCAAACAAACTTAAAAAGTAGCTATATGTTTAGTTTTTTATCTGTAAAGTTATGCTAAAATGAAGAGATTTTAGATGGTACGCCAAAGAGCAAATGCTGTCTGAAGTTCAGTAAGTCAATTTTACAGCATCATTGATAATTGTATTTAATTAAATAGATAATATTTAAGTATTATTTTGTGTTTCTCAACCGCTAGATACATTTAATTTAAAAGGTCGTTAACTGTGTAAACTACAAAAAACTAAAACTAGAAGTTACTATCGCAAGGAAAGTGTTGCCTCACCCCCCAAGGGATCAAAGACAGGGAGCATACGCAATTTGCTGAATAATGGCTATTTATACGGATCTCGCTTAAACCGCTTTGCCAGGACGAGATATAAGGCGCGATGATTTTGTGAAAAACTTTATTTTCTAGAGATGGATTATAGTCAACTGTAAACGAAAGGTTGTTCAAAAAGCTATAAAAATCTTGAACTACATGATTTTCTCTACAACATTTGAGTTTGGTTAGCCAGCATTTGAACTTTTGTTTATTCTAGTGACTTATTTCAATACATCAAAATCATCCCAACTTCCATCATGTAAACAGCCCTGAGTATGCCCGTTCGCAGGTTAGGTGCTGGGCATGACCAAACTTGCGAACGGGCATACTCTGGGTACGAGATTGCTAATATAATACGCCTGTTCAGGATGCAGGAAAAGACCGAAAAGTGCAATTTGAATATCAAACACCTTGCACAAAGTCGAAGTTCAGCTAAGATTTTAATCCTACTTTCTTGGTATGGGAGGTTTTATATGAATCCCTTCAATGCTTATAACTTCTTGTTTTGTATGTATAATTATACTGTTAATGGTGAAGCTAGCAATTATTAAACTAAACTCTACATGTCCAATGATTTATTCACGTATTATGATATCATTGTTGATATATATGGCAATATGTCTTTGTACAGTATTCAGTGGCAAGCTAGCCACGGCAACTGGTCATGCTATGCTAATAAACCTGGATATAAATCATTAAAAACTTGCATCACATGACTTGTTGCTACAATTTCATATACCTTATATAAAAATTTGGGCAGTACTAGAATTCGCGCAGTGCTGGGTTGCGCGAATTTTAGTAATGTGCGAAATATGATCCGCGCAAAAAGCTTTGTGATGTAATATGAGACACCGGTTGTTACTAATGAGAACCATACAATAAATGTTCGCCGTGGATATAAAACAACAGTGAAGCACATTACACAATGATTGTATAAACCTGTATCTACTCGCACTACTGTATACACAAAGCCATACACACATTTGAGTGCACCATAACTCCACAACACTCTCTACAGCACCAGAGAATATTACAAGTCCTTGTATAATATAAGACAATCAGTGGGCTTATTAGAACTGCAAATTGATGAAATCATATTGGTTTCAATGCCTCTATATCGAACACTAAACAGCAAATCTAAATATAAATGCGTCCTTGGCACATCGCCATTCGCCACACAAATAGATAAACTAAAAGTCCATCTTGACTCCTTGTATGAATATAAAGACAATCAGTGGGCTTATTAGAACTGCAAATTCATGAAATCATATTTGTTTCAATGCCTCTATATCGAACACTAAACAGCAAATCTAAATATAAATGTCTTCATGTATATCACCAGAATTCAGAAAGAAATAAAGCTATCCTTACCGGAAATATTCAAAATATTGTCGATCGTTTGCATCGTGAAAATCCAACATACGGCATGTAAATAACAAGGTATTAAACTGAAATCGAATTACCTGAATTATTGAAAATATTGTCGATCCTTTGCATCGTTAAAATCAACATACTGCATGTAAATAAGCTCGTACTAAACTGTAATCCTGAGAAGAATCATGCGAGCGCAATACAAATCAAAATCGAATAGTGAAACAAAGAGTCGTCGAATGCTCGAGCGCTGACGACAATTAGTTGCGAAAAATCTTCACATCCGACAGATCCGACGGACTGACATGGATTGAGTATGTTTCCCAATATAACTCGGCCGGGGACTGGGCACGAAAAAGCAAAATCTCACATCCGACGGACTGACATGGATTGAGTATGTTTCCCCAATATAACTCGGCCGGGGACTGGGCACGAAAAAGCAAGAACGTCATGTAACGTCAAGAATAGGGAGCTGCCTTATATTATACAACAAAGTAATTTTGAGAGGAACGCCAAAATATTTTAGGTTTTGAACACTTTTCATCACAAAATACGCGACACTGAATTGCCTCCTGAAATTGGCCCAACCAACTCTTTGTAAAAACGTACTCTTATATATATACCTATACCGATCATTCAATGACATATTGTTGTTCATGCAGGAACTTATGGAGGAGAATAATGATCTACGGGAGTTACTTCAACATACAGAAAATGAGTTAGTGAATCTTCTTAATAAAGAACACCAAGATGTGGTCACAGAATCAGGGGTAGGTTGATTTTAAAATGCTCTATATAAACTATATTGTGGGTATTTAAAAATGTTTATCGGGTTAAATATATTTTAATGATTTCTCACAATATAGAGTACTATATAATCACCATAGATATCTTATATACACTAGATAGTGCATCTAATTATTCTGCAATTCAAAAATTGAAGCCGTGATTGCAGACTCAGGATATTCCCATGAAATGAGAAGACTCGTATGTTTTCTATTTCTTAAACAGGGAACTTAAACATTAAGTTAAACCTATTCCAAATACATTTTCAAACTATTCAAATGATGAAAGTTATTGTTGTTTTTTAAGCGTTTATTAGCGAGTGGGAAACTTCAACATGGCCGCCATCTATTCAAATAGGGGTAACCGCTGGAATATTCTTGGCTTCAATTTTACTAAAAGAGATGCGCTATGATAATCACACAAACAGGCAACTTACATGCAAAAACGTCATAGGTGTGACTGCAGGAACAGGACTTGCGTCCCAATTGATACCTGACCCCTTAGGCTTATATAGACCTTACTATTTATTGCACTCCAACCCCATTGGCCTCCCTAAATATATCGAATATATAGTAGTATATATGCAAGTAGGAACTATCCATATCTTGAATTTCTCAAGATGTTGTTTTTCGGACATTGTTTCGTCCTATATCTTTCAAGACTGTCGGCACTTTTGGAAATATTAGTGTAAATAATTTTAATTGAATATACCCTATGCATACTGTATAGGATGACGCTGATAGTGAAGACGATTCAATATCTGTGAGCAGTCATACTGAAGGACATTATCAAATGCCCTTCGAGCTTGTCCGTGAAGGTATCGTGTTAATAAAAGCAATAAATTAGTTATTGGCAGAGTATATATATTAGTAAGAAAATGAATCTGAAGCAGTCTAATGCGTATAGTCGCAGGCTATAATGAATGTTGGAATATATATCTGCATGCTTGTTAGCGGTGACTGTCAACGTAGAGAACTACTGGTTTCTGTAACTGTGCAACTTCACTCCTTTTCATTTTCAAAGTGAGAAAAGCATAAAAACGATCCTGATACACTTGTGCTCTAACTAATATTCTTATGAGGTGTTACACCACTTGCACACAGAATCCCCAGGGCAGGGTAGAGTTTTTCAACCTCGTTTCCAGCCTTTTCCTTTTTAGGTGTAAAGGTTTTTCTTAGACTTGAAAGTAGCACAAAAATAATCTTTCTTAAGAAAAATGTCGAGGCTAATTCATAAATCTATTAATATGCCAGGAATCGAGAAAAGCATACGTGAAAAGTGGACAAAGTTAAAAGAAGGAATCGACAGTTCCAAGAAAGGTTTGCAATTATATTTTAGTATATAGCTAAATAGACTACGAGTTCGTATAATTGAGAATTGACATTCACTGTTCATAAAATTTGTATGCTTTCATAGAAGAAGTCAAGAAGAATGAAGAAAGTAGTAAACACGATGATGTTGAAAAATTAAGAAATGAATTAGAAAGATATAAATATATTGTCCTGCAACAAGAAGAGCACATCCAGGTTCGTAACTTATGCATTCCATTTTATAGAATTACCAGAACCTATAGGGCAGACTCCGATTTTATACAGAGGGAACTAAGTTGAAATGATAATTGAATTGTATGATGAGTTGTGAAAAGATTGGTGTGAATCGCAATGACATCTGAAAGAATAAATTATAATTTAGTGTCTTCTGCAGCAGAATTTTGTACTTCCAATTCGATGTTTATTTGTTACAGCTGCATATCGCCTCTTCTTTTCAGAAATTCCAAGATGGCGTAAGCAATGGTGCCAAGGTCGACTTTCTGGTAAATAACATTCCACATTTATACATAGTTGTTCGATTGAATATGACTTTAAGTATATCTATTTAGTAGCATGCATACAAAGCATATTTTAAAACTCTCTAAAACCCATTTCACACGAGACCAGATCAACTGAGAGCGGAACAAAAATCGAAGTTTTGTACAACATGTTTACAAGAGACGTAGTCTTTCGCATATTTAGAAGTTCGGTCTCATGCATATAATGATTAGACACTCTGACCAAAAAGATATTATCTCTGCTCTTACATCGTGCCGGGCCTAAAATATATTGGTCTTGGATGGATGGATGGATGGATGGATGAATGAATGGAATGAAAATTACATTCAGGAGCTGAGAACCGTGGTACTGGTTCTATGAAATATTATGGCATATATGAATAAAACAGTCAGACACTTTACTTCAAAATGGATCTGCCCGACCTGATCGTAATTTAAATTTTAGATTCTAAAACTTGTAAATAGAACAACTTTTTATTAATTGTAAATCAGTGTTGAAAATCCCTATTCAGGGAACACAATAAAGTATGTAATGTAATGTAATGTGTAATGTAATGTGTAATGTAATGTGTAATGTAATGTGTAATGTAATGTAATGTAATGTAATGTAATGTAATGTAATGTAATGTAATGTAATGTGTAATGTAATGTGTAATGTGTAATGTAATGTAATGTAATGTGTAATGTGTAATGTAATGTGTAATGTGTAATGTAATGTAATGTAATGTGTAATGTGTAATGTAATGTGTAATGTAATGTAATGTAATGTAATGTGTAATGTGTAATGTAATGTAATGTGTAATGTAATGTGTAATGTAATGTAATATGTAATATACAATTACTTTATGGTTTCCGTGTTTGGATGGCCTGATCCAAACACGCGGGAATGTTGCGAGAGTTAAGAAAAGCGAGCGAAATCACGAGCCGAAG